TGACTTGGTCATCTTTCCAAGTAAACAAGACTCGCATACGTCATCGTCCTAAGGTCGAATGACTCCAACACTCCATCCTTTTGGAGTTGGGCTATGCGCTTCTTGTTGACATGTCCAAGACGACAATGCCACAAGCATGCTTTGTCCAAACTATTGGATGAATCGATATGCAACACATCATTTCCTAAGTTGTCTACAACAATCACAGTTTCATATATTCCATTACAAGACAATGCTTCAAATAGAAAACACACATTAAGATAAACATTAATAGAACCTTTTCATTATCAAATGAATATCTAAATCCTTGTCTATACAAACCATGAAAAGAAATCATGTTTCTTGTCATTTCTGGCGAATAGCAACAGTTATTCAAATCTAGTCCTAATCCATTACTAAGCACTAAAGAGTAAACTCCAATCTTGGTGACAGGCGACGATCTTCTGTTCCCCATGATCAAGTTTATCTTCCCATGCTCCACATCCCTATTTCTTCTTAGGCCCTACAAATCAGAACAAATGTGAAAACCACATCCTGTATCAAGTACCCAAGAAATAGCATGTGATGAATCGTTAGATTGAATAGTGTAAATACCTGTGTAGGATGGCTTGATCTTTCCATCCTTTATATCTTGCAGGTACTTCGGGAAGCTTCGTTTTCCAATGCCCCTTTTCGTGGCAGTAGTAGCACTCTGCATCCTTTGGCTTGGAGGTGGGTGCAGCGGGACCAACCTTGGTTCCACTAGAAGAGGAGCCATCGTGAGACATTCCCTTATGATGGCTCTTGGAAGGAGCCTTCCTCTTCTTACCCTTCCCCTGCCCAATAGCCAAGACGGAGGCAGCAGTAGGAGTTGATGCAACAGACTTATCCTTGAGGTTGCTCTCAGCAGTCCTCAACAACCCTTAAAGCTTGCTCAACGTGACCTCCTCTTTGTTCATGTGGTAGGTCATGCGGAACTGGTTGTAGCAAAGAGGTAAGGAGTGAAGAATTATGTCAATCGCCAGCTCCTCATTGAAGTCCACATTTAACTTCTGCAGGCGGTCAACATATCTCTGCATCTTCTGGAGATGAGCAGTGACAGACTCTCCGTCTCTCATCTTGGTCGTGATCATCGAAGTGATGATCTCGTACCTCTCCTGCATCGCGCTTTGATGGTACCTATCCATCAAATCTTGATGCATCTCGTAGGGATAGAAGTCCTCGTAGGAATTTTGGAGTTCTACCGTCATGGTGGCGAGCATGATGCAATGGACTTTCGTAGCATCTCGCCCATGGGTCTCATAAGCAGCAATCTCCTCGGGAGTAGCAGTTTCGAGGTTTACTTCCTTCAGCTCCTTGTCGAGGACATACTCCTTGTCCTCGTAGCGAGCAACCATTCGTATGTTGTGGATCCAATCATTAAAATTGTTTCCATCGAAGATTACCCTCCCACACAAATTCATGAATGAGAATGAGCCGGAAGAGTTCGAGCCTTGAGCGTTGTTTGAGTTCGACATCTGAAAAGGAAAAGAGACAAAGTTTGATTAGATAAAAATCCCCAATTAAACACCCAAATGAGAAATTAGGGCTAGGATCCAACAACATTATTTACAACTTAAAAGAGGGATGCCGTAATTTAAATTGCAAATAATTTGAAGGTAAGTGAATGACGATTCACTAATTTACACCATGAAAAACGAAAACAATTAGGTTTTAAATGTATTGAAACTCCTAGATCTTTTGAGATTCATTGAACTTTTCAATGACATGTTTAAATCTCGATATGCCCTTCAAGTTTGTAACTGGGATACCGAGGATCATAAAAAATGTGTGAATAACCATGCGAATGTACTTGGTGCCCTCGATGTTACAGTCACCTAATCAATGTGTCGGTTAGCCACACACGCTCCATTGATCTATGACAAACAATGAGTCACCCTTTGTCACCTTTGCTTAGAGCCAAATTAGTGTGCCGGTTAACCACACACGCTCCACTAATGTCTTAGCAAGGGTACAAAGTGTAATTCCATGGAATAGCATCAAATTCACATTTTTCCTAAAGTAACTAGAGTGGGAATTTTATAAAAACATTTAGTTACTTTATAATCATTATACTTTTAATGAGGAATTAGGTTGTCCTATCCTACCCGTTCGGCTAACGACCCTCCACCAATCAAGGAAGCGGTGGGTGAGAGTGTAGACCCATTAAACGACCATTTTATAGGCCATAACCCTATACCCCCCTTATAGATCGGCTTCGTGAATGAGGCCTACTAACGGTAAGACTAGCATTTATCTTATACATATATAATAATTATTCTTATAATATTACAATAGTATATGGTGAATTTTAAACTTGTAAAATTCTAGGGTTTGGAATTTAATTATTTCAAAATTAAACTTTTAATCCAAAAAATTAAATTCCAAAACTTGAGGGCAAGTTTTGAAACTATCTAGATCAAAATTCAAATAATAATTAAACAATTAATTGGTGATTATCTAATTTTGACCTAATCCAATTTCATGCAAGATAATTGATCAAATAATTCAAATAATTAAGGTTTATCATAAATAGTCAATTATTATCTAATTAAATGATAAAAATCTTTTATTTTGACTAAGATAATCACATGGAATCAATAAAAATCAGATTTTATTAATTAAAAACAATTTTGGTAATTATCCAAAGTCAAAATAAGCTAAAATCCCGAGATTTGCACTCTGACTCGCCACCACGTCGTGGTCACCAGCCAGAAGAAAAAAAAACGAAAAAACTTTTGCTTTGAACGATTAATCTGTGCATCAAATACAAAAGAAAAACAGCCAAGGCTTTGATACCACTAATGGGTTTTGAGCAAAAGAACATCATATGTGCACATGCAAAACCCTAAAGCATTTGGATCTAGGTTTCTCTATTGTACATGCAAATTCTAAAGCTTGTAAACCCTAATCTAGCATACTTTGAAAAACGAGATCTATAACAAAACAAGTTTAGATGATACCTTTCAATAGTTGCAAGAATCTTCGATCTTCAGGAAGCTTACTGTCACAAGTGTAACACCTCTAATGACTTACAAACACCAAAGCAAGAAGATGATCTAGAAGAGAGAAGGAGAGAGGCACATTTTCGGTTATAGTAACTCTAGGGTTTCTTGGTCTAGCCGAAACTGAAGCCCTGGGTCCCTTAAATAGCCGAGCTGCTAGGGTTTCAGTCAAAACCCTAATTGGATGACTTAGGCCCTAAGCAGCTTAAGAACCTTCTGGAATAAGGCCCCCTTAGACGAAATTAGAGTGGACTTCCACTCCAAATTTCGTCCCCCTTATGCCCATGAGGATTCACAGCCCAAAGTCAATTATCTTATAATTGACAGTTCCAGTCCCCCTTTATTTAATTAATCTCTTTTAGCCACAGAATTAATTCTTAACTAATTCTTGACCAATATTAATCAAACTATATGACTTATCTTTTAATATATTATTCATATAATATATTAATAAACCATAATAACCCCTCTCTCTCTCTCTCTCCCATAAATCATCCTGTCCAGTTGCTTTGGTGAAGGCAACCCAAAAGGACCATGCACAACCCGGTCAAGTACATACCAAATATAGTTACGGGCTTAGACGCTAATCCAACACCTTCGAGCTCCTGTATGGGAGGAAGTGTCAGACTCCTATCTGTTGGGGAGAGGTCGGGCAAAGAGTCATGGGGGAGCACCGAGATAGTGCTCAAGACGACATAGCTTATTCAACAGGTCAGACAGAGGTTGCTGACGACCGAGAGCCAAAAGAATAGTTATGCGAATCGGCGACGCTCTGAGTCGGAGTTTCGGGTTGGAGATTTGGTGTTCATTAAGGTATCACCTTGGAAAGGTGTTATCCGATTCAGGAAGCAGGGCAAGCTGGGCCCCCGGTTTATTTTCCCCTTTCAGAGTGTTAACCCGAATGGGCAAGGTGACATACCGATTAGAGTTTCCCGAGGAGTTGACTCAGATTCATGACACCTTCCATATTTCCCAGTTTAGGAAGTGTGTGGCCGATGAGAAAGTTATGATTCCTGTGGAGGACATTCAGATCGATGGTTGCCTGAATTATATCGAGGGGCCGATGACGATTCTGGATAGGGAAGTCAAGACCTTGAGGAACAAGATAGTGAACTTGGTTAATGTTCAATGGCAACATCAGAAAGGCTCTAAGTGGACTTGGGAGCCCGAGGCTGAGATGCGTGAGCACTATCCTGATCTCTTCGTAGAGGTTGACTTCAAGGACGAAGTCTGATTCTAGTGGGGGAGAATTGTAACACCCGATGTCATGTATTTTCATTTCAACCCTTAATATTTTAAAATTGTCGCAAATAAGGCCTTTACCCTGGGCGTACCAGGCTGTACACCGAGTGTAAGTCAGCAACTCGTGGTGCATCAAAGGTGGAGTATAATGGACGTACACGTGAGTATGATGGGCGTACACTTGAACCCTTGACCTCAAGGGGGAGGTACCAGATACCGTTGAGCTTTGGAGATGCTCTTATATAATATTTTGAAAACCGGTTTGAACTGTTCGGACTGAAATCTAGAGGCGTAGCTTTGGAGATGCTCTTATACAATATTTTGAAAAACCGTTGAGCTTTGTTACTATTTTAAGTATTTTGCTACTTATTCATATTTTGTAAATTATTTGACATATCCTAAAATAAAATCTTAGCTACAGCAAAAACTAAGGACGAGAGCAGTTCCATAACAACCGATTTTATACTATGTTCTAGACCGAATTGAAACGGATGGTTTCTTCTAAAATAAGATTAAACCCATATAATAAAACCGATAAAAAACGGTTTAAGTCGATTTATTAAACTTCAATGATTTTAGTCTTGTACCATTTTCCGCATATAATTTTAGCATTTCAAAGTTGACCTTTTTTCTTATTATAGGCACCTTCAAGTCATGGCAATTAATTTCTATATCTATAATAATAATAAATAATTAGTTTTATATTGTGATATTAATTTTCAAATGTATGCGTATCGATAACGGGATATGAATTACACACAAGCAGAAAGCAAAGCCAACCTAAACACTACGCATAATAGTTTATCTTCCATTTTGCTTGCTTTATATATCATCGTCTTCACTCCTTATACACCAGAAATACAGTAAAGCTAAAATGTTAGGGTTCTTAGTAAGAAGTGCAAAATCCAGCTCAGTATCATCTCCATATCGATGGCGTTCATCAATCAGCTCCACCCAGATGATGTATTCAAGCAATCGCGATTACGGCACCCAGCCGCAAGGACACAATGTCCTTCCCGATGGTATCGACCGGACTTCCGATTCATTTATTCGAAACTCGAAGGAAATGGAATCTGTCATTTCTCAACTTCACTCTCGTATCAATCAGGTTTGTTTTCTCTACTTCTGGATGTAAATTCAGCTGTGTAATTTCTAGTAATTTGAGGATGTAAATGATGCGACTGGCTACCTATAGCAAAAAATTTAGTACTCGTGAATTTAAATGCTTGCAATGAATGTATTTGAATAAGCGCTAATTTGTTAACGCGATTGCATCTTGAAATACGGGATTTGAGATATCGATTTGGACTGTAGATGTAGAAATTCGGACTGCATGCTAGTGGTATGAAGTGATTTTTGAACGATTTTGTATTCCTTATGTAAAAAGGTTACCCAAGGTGGAGGAGCAGCAGCTATAAAGAGGCATAAAAGTAGGAACAAACTGCTTCCAAGGGAGAGAATCGATCGGTTACTGGATTCTTCTTCTTCGTTTCTTGAGCTTTCCCAGGTTAGAAACTTACTTTTAGAATTTAGGATCAAACATTTTGATCCACAAGAGGAGTTTCTCTAAATTCTTTGATCTAATTTCGTGATAAGAAAGATCTGAAAACAGAACTTTCAAATCATTTCACTGGAATTATATGATAAGCAACAATCTCTTGCCAATTTCGTTTCTTCTTCTTCATCTGTTCATTTCTTTTACATTCAATACAAGCTTGCAGGCCACGAATTATATGAAGAATGTCTTCCATCTGGAGGTATCATAACTGGCATAGGACCAATACATGGAAAACTCTGTATGTTCATTGCAAATGATGCAACAGTCAAAGGAGGCACATACTATCCCATTACAGTCAAGAAACATCTCAGAGCTCAAGAAATTGCTGCTAAATGCAGATTACCATGTATATATCTTGTTGACAGTGGTGGTGCTTTTCTTCCAAAACAAGCTGATGTTTTCCCAGATAAAGATAATTTCGGTAGAGTATTTTACAACCAAGCCCTCATGTCTTCCCAAGGTATTCCCCAAATTGCCCTTGTATTAGGTTCTTGCACAGCAGGTGGGGCCTACATACCTGCCATGGCTGATGAAAGTGTCATGGTTAAAGGAAATGGCACCATTTTCTTAGCAGGCCCACCACTAGTAAAGGTAATTTTAGATGATATATATGTTATTCTTGTGTTTTATTTATAATTTATATTTGGTTTTTATATATTTATCTAAAAAGACTAGTTTTTTAGGCTGCTACTGGTGAAGAAGTATCTTCTGAAGATCTTGGAGGTGCAGATGTTCATTGCAAGATATCAGGTGTTTCAGATTATCTTGCTCAAGGTAAACTATTTATTTTTTTATAAATAAAAGTAGAGCAAATTTCCATAAATAGCAACTTACTTTACTTTTTATCCATAAATAGCAACTTACTTTACTTTTTATATAACTTGAAACTTATAAAATTTTCACATGTTGCATGTTGCATATTGCTTTCATTGATAAATACAAATAAGTGCATTGCTATTATAGTTTGCTATCAATGATACTAATTTTACGAAATTGCCCTTCATACTTGCAGATGAACTTCATGCACTATGTATAGGAAGAAACATTGTTAAGAACTTACACATGGCTGGGAACGAAGGGGTAATCCGTAATTTACAAGGCATGATTTCTGATTACAAAGAGCCATTGTATGATGTGAAGGAGCTTCAATCAATTGCCCCTACAGACCTAAAACAGTCATTTGACATTCGATCACTTATTGCTCGCATAGTTGATGGAAGTGAATTCGATGAATTCAAGCAATTGTATGGCACTGTGAGGGCTAAATTACCACTTTACCCCTGAACCTATTTCTGTTAAGATTTTGTTCTTTTAGTATTCACCTTTGCATTTTGCAGACACTTGTAACAGGATTTGGTAGAATTCTTGGACAACCAGTGGGTATAATTGGAAATAATGGGGTTTTATTTTGTGAATCTGCTCTTAAAGGAGCCCATTTTATCGAGTTATGTTCTCAACGGAATATTCCATTGGTGTTCCTTCAAAATATTACAGGATTCATGGTATGTGAGGAGAAGGGTAAAATGGTAATTTAGCAAAGTATGTTGTTATTTGAAGCCCCCATTTTGTTGTGATGTGATAGGTTGGATCAAAATCAGAGGCAAATGGTATAGCAAAGGCAGGAGCAAAGATGGTAATGGCTGTTTCATGTGCAAAGGTTAGTTTCTTTTTCATATTTTCATATATATTATATATTCCGAAAATGCCCTTTGGCCTTTGGACATTTGCTTTGAGTTAGTTCTATGTAAGTTCTTTGAATTTCTCGGAAATGTTGTAGACGGTTTAAGAGAAGGAATAAATAACCTTAAGAATAGTCTTTCAAGAGTAAAATGACGAAAATACCCTTGTGTGTGTTTTTTATAGGTACCGAAGATTACTATTGTTGTTGGAGGAAGCTTTGGGGCTGGAAACTATGCAATGTGTGGGCGGGCATATAGTCCGGATTTTATGTTCTTCTGGCCGAATGCCAAAATAGGTGTGATGGGTGGTGCTCAGGTAGACTCCATGCTCTTTTGGTCAAAGGGTATTTTGGGTATTTGAAAAATAGTCAAAATGGTATACTGATCTTAAATTGTAACAGGCGGCTGGGGTGATGTCTGAGATAGAAAAAAGCAAGAAGAAAAAGGAGGGAATCCAGGTAAATAATAATTAATTAAAAAAAAAAAAAAAGTGATCAATTTATTAAAAGCCACATCATAAAGGGGTAATTTGGTGATTTTACTTTACAGTGGTCAAAGGAGGATGAAGAGAAGAGTAAGGCGAAATTTAATGAGGCGTATGATAAGGAAAGCAGTGCGTATTATTCGACGCGGATCCTGCTGACACTCGCAAAATCTTAGGATGTATAGTTTTTTTTGGCTAATGACCTATGGTTTGGGCTGACTACCCTTTGAAAAGTTGATAACTACATTTGGGTATTTATTGACCAAACTTTTTTAATTTTTTTTATCATATATATGTATTAATGGCTACCAGCACCTTACAACAAACCACCACCTCATCAACGTTCCTCCCTTCCATCTAATCATCTTCTCATCATCTTCTCAGACACATCTCCCGTGAACATTTATCAACTATAAACCACCACCCAACCATCGTCTCTCTCCTTCCATTCGATCATCTTCTCAAGCATATTTACAAAATCAAAACTAGGATCAAAATTAATCAACCACAAACACTAATGAAAAAAAAAAAAACAGTGATTTATCTTGATTTTTCATTCCATATTTATGAAATCAAAAGTAAATAAAACCCAAAAAATAAATGTGGTATGCATATCATCTTTCATCTTCGTCCCAAGTTTCATTAAACCCACAACCACCCCTTGCATTTTGGTTCATTAAAACGACAACCACCATCTTCATCTTCTTTCCATGTTCATTCCAGATTCACAACCATCGCCTGCAATTAGATCAAACCAGCACAACAAACACCTGAATCCTTGGTCGTGATAACATCAAATGGGAGATCGACAAACTACAAATCTCACTTCTGGATTTTATAAACCCAAACAAAAGTAAACAAAATCAACATCTAATTTGCATATATTTCAAGTTGAGTTTGAGTTCGATTGAGACGTTTTTTTAACAGGTTTTTAGGTTTTAAGAGGTTGAACAAGTTGTTGCTTGTGAATCTGGTCAGAGAAGCCTGACAATTTGTTGTCATGACTGAGTAAAAACTGATAGGGGGAAAGCGCAGGAGATCGCTTTAGTTTCTTTTGATGGTGTGGGTTAAAGTTGTCGGATGGGAAAGGATGGGGGAGGAGACGGGTGAGTGGATGTGACGATAGTTGTCGTGGGGGAACACCATACTGATTGCGGCAGATAAGTGGGAAACGAAGTGGGAGCTGTCGAAGGAGATGCATGTGGTGATGTAGCCTATGTGGTGGTCGACGGTTATAGTCGGCAATGGTGCTGGAGACAGTGAGAGTGAGAGGGGAGAGACGGAGAGTATGTGTGAAATGAAGGATGATGAATTTTTATGTTAGGGTTTATTGTTTTATTTTGTTTGTAGTTTTATTTTTAGTCTTTGTAATTCTACAAATTAAAATAAAAATCATAAACTAAAAGATAAGGGGTATACTTGTCATTTTATTGAGATCTAACATCTGATTTTTAACGGGGTTATCACTCAGGACCATCACTGTAATTCCTCAAAACCATAAGATGGTATTTGTCAAAATTTCAAAGGTTGGACCAAACTTGCGAATTCGATCAAACGACAGGGACTATTTTTTGTAATTTACTCATTTAGTTAATATACTTGAATTTTGTAACGATATAAGACTATTATTTAAGATGGGTTTGTCATAATATAAGTGAGAGATTAAAACAAAAAAGCGCCCGTGGCCTAATGGATAAGGCGTCTGACTTCTAATCAGGCGATTGTGGGTTCGAGTCCCACCGGGCGTGCTATTTTTTAACGGACGGAATCCTGAAATTGTTAAAACTTTTTTGCAAGTTTTTTTTTTGATGATTATTTACCATGTTTCGCACTTGAAAATATTTACATGGACATCTTAGGTCCATACGGTTTACATCACAGAACCTACAAATTTTTGTAATTTTTGTTTCAAATCTTTTTCGTGATGAAAACAAGTTCATTGAAGTTTGTAGATGGATTCTAAAAATATACTATCAACCCTCAATATTTCTTATTTCCACTATTTCATCTTGAATTTTAGCACAAAATCCTAGTCTTCATCGATAGGAAAAAGATTAAGTTTGAAGTATAATCGGTGGAAATAACTGGTATAGTATATGTCTAACGACATTTAAAGTACATAGGGTGCTTCAACTTGGATAAATACTATCAATAAATTCTTGGTAACACAATTTATGCATAGCTTTGCCAGAGATTCTAATGGTGGATTTAATTTCTCTAGAAGTACACGGAATGGTGATAAATTGAGTTACATGTATTTCTAGTGACTTGTGACTCATAAGTTTTCATAGATTATGGTGTTTGCTTTCGATAGAAAAGTCTTTGATCGTCGCCCTATAATTTTGAAGAATGCTTCGTTTGATTACGGACCTTCCCTATTTCGGTTTTTTTATTCTTGGCTAGAAATGGATGTCTTTGATGAGGTTGTTCGAACTTCATGGGCTGAATTTCAAGGAGATAAATCTAATTCTTTTACTTATTTTAAAGACAAATTAAAGTTTCTTAAAACTAAAATCAAGGAATGGAAGTGTTCTATTAATATTGTTGCAAAAACCAACAAGAGGGTGGTTGAAAGCAAATTAATGGATATTGATAAGCTTTTGGAAGCTAGTCTCGGCTCACATGTGCTAGAAATGGAGAGGAAAAAAATCTTGATAGGTTATATGAAATGGAGAAGATTGAATGTAGTGATTTGGGTTAAAAAATGTGAAATTAAGTAGGCCTTGGATGGAGATGAAAATACAGAGTTTTTCAATAGAATCATGAAGAATAAGAGGCGACACGAGACTGCTAAAGGAATACGGGTGGACGATAAGTGGATCACGCAAACAGATAGGGTTAATCCGAGTTTTTAAAATATTACAAAAATAAGTTTGAAATTTTTTTAAGGGGGTTCGATTGAGTACTTGTAGTCATTAATTTAGAAGTATGGATCCAAATCAGTCACAAGTGTTGGATGTCATCCCGCCGATTAAGGAACTGCATGATGCAGTTTGGGTTTGTGGTAGTGACAAGGCCTCAAGACTAGATGGTTTTACTTTTGTTTTTGTCAAAAGGTATTGAGATTTGATTAGTCATGATACATATGCCATTGTGGTGGAGTTTTTTCACTTGAATTTTTATTCCATCGGGATGCAACTCTTCATTTATCACTTTAACTCCTAAGGTGGTAAATCCTCTTGTTATTAAGGATCATGGACCAATTAAGTTTGTTGGCATCCAATATATGATTATTGCAAAGCTTTTAGATCTTCGATTAGCAAAGGTTATTGATATAGTGGTGAGTTCAGAGCAACATGCTTTCATTAAAGGAAGACAAATCTTAGATGGGTCGGTAATTGTAAATTGGGTGGTTGACTTGTGCAAGTTGACCACTAAAAGGTCTTATGATGTTCAAAGTGGATTTTGAGAAAACTTACGATTCACTTTCTTGGGTTTTTTTCTATGATATCTTTCATGGGTTTTTCTGGTAATTGGTGTGCTTTAATTAGAGCATGCCTCTCTAATGTTTGCTCTTCTGTGTTCGTTAATGGATGTCATTCTAATGAATTTCTTAGTAGAGAGGGTTGAGACAAGGAGATATTTTTTCTCATTTCTTATTCATATTAGCTATGGAAGGATTATATGTGGCAATAGAAGATACAGTATAAGCACGCTTATATAGATGTATTTCTCTTGGAGATAGTGATTTATATATTTCTCATATTTTTATGCTGATGACGTGATATTTTTTGGTGAATAGAGTTGGAAAAATATCCCTAATTTGATTGGAATTCTCCATTGTTTTTTTATGGTTTTCGGCCTTTAAGTGAATTTACAAAAACCCAATCATTTCGTTGTTAATATTCATTTCCTTTATGTGGAATAATTAAGGTTCTAACAGGTGTAAAGGCTGCCAAGTTGCCTTTTTGTATTTAGGATTGCCGATTGAGGCTAGGATGTCTTGGTTTTTAGGATGGAATTCGGTAATTGAAAGATTTAAGGGAATTATGTCATCTTGTAAAATCAAGTTACTTTCCATAGTGAGTCGATTTATGCTTTTAAAGTCATTGCTGGGTTCTCTAGGTATATACTTTATGTCTATGTTGTTTGGTGTTGTTAATAAATATCTATAAAAGTTGAGGGCTAGTGAGGAAAGCTTCATTGGATCAAATGGGATGATATTTTGGCTAATCAAACTAAAGGTAGGTTGGATATTGGGTCATTGGATGCTTTTAATAATGTAATCTTATTTAAATGGAAATGGTGTTTTTCTCAATAATAATAATGATATGTGGTGTAAGGTTATAAAAGCTCTGCATGGCCAATTAAGGAAAGAAAACCTCCAATCATGAAGGCAACTCGTCGAGTTCAAAGGTGAGAACTCGACGAGTAGGAATGTTGTCACACGTGTTTTTGGAAGACCAACTCGACGAGTTTAAGGGGACCAACTGACGAGTTGGACGGGGTTTGGGAAACCCTAGATCCGGGATTTTGCACCCTATTTAAACACTTTATGGACTAGGGTTTGGCCTCATTTCCAGCCTCCATTGTCCAAACCCTAGATCTCGAAACCCTAATGCTATTGTGATCCATTTCGAGTGTTATTGTGAGTGCTTGAAGAGCTTGGAGGGAAGGAAAGCTTGAAGGAATAAGGAAGAGTTGCTAGATCCATAAACCTCACTCCATTTTCGTCATTTTCTGGTAATCAAGTCTCAAACTTGACTAGTAGTTGATTAGATCTCCATTTTAGCATCTTTATGTGGTTTTTGGTCCAAATGATATGACTCTTGGGATTTGGACGTCCCAAGTGAAGAACACTTCAGATCTAGTGTCTAGAGGGACTCTCATGGCATAAAGGTGCCAACTTTATGGGCATGGAAGTCCCATGCAACCTCTAAGCCTATATTTTGGCCTTTCTAGCTCCAAATGGGCCATGCATGTGGATAAAGCTTGAAGATTTACGAGATCTTCTTGCCCCTAGAGTCTAGATCTATGACCCCATGGGTTATCTTGCTGTTTTGGTGATGATTTAGATTAAGACCTTGGCCTTTTTGGGTTAGGGTTTAAGCTTAATCCATTTAGGAAAGATACTAATGGGTAAAGTTGGAAACTTTACCCTTCCAGAAGCATTTTTAGTTTAGATTCAGAGTATAGATTGTAGATCTAAATGATAAGGGCTTAATGCATTAAGAAA